AAACACACATATTTTCTTGTACTTTTTATGAATCCCCACTAACTAACATATAGGAAGGAAGCCCAAGAAGGAAAGGATAATTGGAAGGAAAATGATAGCCATAAAATGTTGTGAGTTAGAAAACAGAAAGAGGAAAGACAACTGACCAAGCAGGGCCAGGAAAGCCATGTCCTAAGTGAGCAAGCAAAGTAGTAGCCCATTTTCTAAAATAGAACCACAAAGTCTCAAGAATTAGAAGTAGCAGGGGTTTATGATTTGGAAGCAAAGGGGAAGACAAAAGTCTAGGAGTCAGATAGACACAAATTCATATGCTCCCATGCCCATATCCTAATGCTTACTTTGTGTGATCAGATAATTAACCCTTCTTTCCCTCAGCAGAAAATTGTGGTTTAAACTCTAGAGAGAGCAAAAACAGAAGGTCTCTGAAGTCTGGGATACATGGCACAGTTGAGGGCAGTAATCATTTTAAAAGCAAGAGGATTAAATACTAAATGTTGAGGCCCTCTGCTATAGCTCATGGCCCTCTTCCATTGCTAGGTTCCCAGAAAAGTGCAGGATCTTAGCAGATTCTTCTCTGAAAATATCTGGCAAATCAAAAGAAAAGATATTAGGATTATCCAACAAACAGCTCAGCCTGATAATCCTACAAGTGAGCTAATGGTCTTCAAGCCCCACCCACAATATGGAGTCTCATTCAGCTTCTTAGGGCCCCAATTTTAAATATAAATGAACAGATAAGGACCATTTAAAGAAAGCCTCTAATATGAAAGGCAGAGGCTAAAAACAAAGAGGTTAAAGCAATCTGGAGAAAACATAAATTAGATAAGAAGACAAAAACGATCAGAGATCTAAGAGAATATATTGTAAACACGAAGCAATAAGATGTTATTTTGTAACAGTGTATTTATACAACAAAAGAGTTTTAGCAATTAAAAATATTACGTTATAAATTAAAAATCCAGTAAGAAGTTTGAAAGGAAAGTTTGATTAAACCTTCCAAAGGACAACAAAATCACATAAAATAAGAGAGAAAAGGTAAGTAAATTTAAGGATCAAGCCAGGAAGTCCAATATCCAAACACTATGAATCATAAAAAGAAAACCGAGTAAATAAAATCATCAAAAAGTAATTTCAGAAAATTTCAAACTGAAGGTCATTGTGAGATAAAAGTTCCTATCAAGTATCCAGAAAATGAATAAAATATATTAGTTAAACCCTATCATTGTGAAATTTAAGAACAATGGAGTCAAAGAAAAAATTCTAAAGCCTCTAGAGAGAGAAAAATTGGTTAGACTCTAATGAAAAATCGGAATGACCATTAATTTTCTCAACAATAATGCTGGAAATTAGAAGTAATTCTGAAGAAAAATGAATTTTATAGAATTTTATACCCAGTCATGCTATCAAATAATATAAAGTCTTTTTCAGATATATAAGCTCTCAGACAGCACAGCCTCCATGCACCTTTCTCAAGATGCAACTGGAGGAGCTCCTCCACCAAAATAAAGGAGAAAACAAGAAAGACAAAGATATTGAAATGCAGGACAAAGGGGATCCCACACAAGAAACAAGTGAAAGAAATCCCAGCATGATGTTGAGAGGAAATCTTCAGGATAACAGCCATGTAGCAAGTCTAGAGGGCAACTTATCTAGATTGGAGAAAACCAGAGACTGAGAAGGATCTAAGATGACGAAATTGATAGAATGCTTGCATGTGAACGTTTTTGAGAGTTTAGGGATGAATTAATGATAAATCCTTAGAAACTAAACAAACAAACAAGAAGAGAAATTGAGCTAAATCCAAAAGCTGGATAAGGAAAAGTCATCATAGTTCAAAATTTATATTATCATATTAATACTGATCCTCCAAAATTGTGATATAACTATTGGGATAATGAAGGGTAAGAAATATGTGCCTGGGGAAGCTGGGGGCATTTTCTGGCCATCCTGTCATAACTAGGCAGATCCCTAAACCATTTTTTCTTTGTTGAAGGGAAAGATGATATTAAAGCCTGAACTCAAAGCAATAGTTTTGAGATTTACTCACTTTTCCCTAAGTATCTACCATGTATGCATGTTATTAAACTTCTATTAGTTTTTCTCTGGTTAATCTATCTTTTGTTACAGGGGTCAATCTCAATTAAGAACTACAAAAGAGTAGAGAGAAAATTATTTCTCTAAATCATTTTTCCTTCTCTACATTGTCAACAGAGAACAGAAGGAAAAAAGTTCTTTTAAGTGCCAAACTGTGCCTGGAAATTCTAACAGGGAAGACACATACAGCCAGGTTTGTGTCTGAAGCACTCACCAGGAATCTTACATATTAGAACCATCACTACTCAAGAAAGCCCTGCATTACAGGGGAAGCCATCCTGCTTGAAGATCTGTTTATTTCATAGACAGTGAAGCAGGGAAGGGAATTCTGTGGATTTTTACTTGGGAGCCCAAAATTCAGACTGACCAACAGTGACCTCAGATAATCTTTGCTGGACTTCACAAATTCAGTGGATAGACCATGTCCCAATCCTATGGATAACTTATTAAGATGAGCTGTTGGAAGGCAGGATACAGAACCCGTCATCTCTAAAGAGCAGAAAGATTATTGCTCAGAGAGTAGAGTAGGCTAATGACATTTCACTGTAGAAATGCTCCATAGGAACAGACGAAAGGGCTTGGGGTGGGGAAAGAGCAATGAGGACTCTTTAGAGAAGTCCAGAAGGAGCTCGTATTTTGTTTGGCCAGATAAAGTCAGAATACTCTCTAGATCACTCAGATACTAAGACAACTTCGTAGTGCTGCCCCCCGTAATTGTGTGAGAAAGAAAATTTAAACCATTTATCTCAAATCAGTGTTGCCAGCAGTGGGGTGTGGGATCCACCTGTCCTCCTTCTCCCTGAGAATCGGCTGTTCCTACATTTTCTCATGCAAAAAAGGCTATGGATGAAAGGTCATGAATGGAATGATTTTCCATCAGCCTTGAGACAAATACCTATTAAAAAACCCATGCCATGCCCTGCCCACAGACTGTCTCAGACAGGATTACGTTGGCTATTTATTAAGTACCACAGGGTAGTAACTGCAGCCTCACTTTGCTCTGCTGTTTCGTAGGACTTGACGGCTGGTGGCAGGCAGGACCTATTAAAGATCGTCTGCTTTATTAATGTCACTCATTTGTTCTCTGTAATGATAATGGGAGAGAGATACACTAAAAAATCCAGCTAGTGAGCTGGGCACATGTTGATCTGCAGCTGACATAGCCTTTCTGAGGCCCTGGACAATACTTCAGGGGCTTATTTAAAAAACAACTCATAGAGTCCTAAGTTCAAAATCTGGCACTGCTATGTATTTTAGCCAGATGCCGTTGGCTGAGTTAGTTAGCTTCCTTGAGCATCAGATTTCTGACCTGTAAAGTAAAGGAAATAAGGCTAAAACTCTGAGTCTCAAAATGGCTCCTGGCTCCTGACTCCTAAGATTCTCAAAGGATTAAATGATACAATGTATTTGAAATCCCCTTCTGTGTGCCAGGGGCATAATAAATGCCTCATTATTGCCGCTTCCTTTCCTTTGTGTCCCCTTCCCTGCCTCTCTCTGCTCACTGTACATGAGTATGTCATTCCTGCAGAATGAGTTCATTGAGACAGAACAGGAATTTAGTTAATTGGACATGTTCTAGCATTGCCCTAAATAAGTACAGTCAGCCCTCCGCATCCGTGGGTTCCACATCCCCAGATTGAACCAACTGTGGATCAAAAATGTTGAGGAAAAAAACAATAAAAAATAACAATACAAATAAAAAATAAGACAGTGTAACAACTGTTTACATAGCATACATCGTATTAGGTATTATCAGTAACCCAGAGATGATTTAAAGTATACAGGAGGATAGCCTGGCATAGTCTCAAAATAAATAAACAAAGGATACAAGAGGATGTTGTAGGTTACATGCCAATACTACAACATTTTATACAAGGGACTTGAGCATCCATGGATTTTGCTTTCTGCAGAGGTCTTGGAACGAGTCTGCCATGGATACCAAGGGAGGACTGTACCAGGATGCACTTCCTGTGCAGCCTATAAATAGGTGGGGGTTGGGAGAGCAGGGAAGGTGGTACACCGGGCATCATCCTAGGTTATTGTTCTGAAAAGCTTTTCTGTGCTAACTATAGCAAGACCTCCTCACTGGAGCTTGGGATGTTTTGCTTTAGTCTCTACTGCTAGTCCTGGAACAGCTGAGCACCAAGGATGCGAGTGCTGGAACAGTATAGTCCAGTATTTGTTGATTCACTCCTCCAGCAAACACTGAAAGCCTGAGTACAAGCCAGGCACCATTCATTCATTTATTTATTCATTATCAAATACATCTATAACATTAATTCTGTGCCTAACCTCTTCTAAGCACTCAACAAATACTCTCTCATTGTCTCCTTATAATGGTGTTATGAGGGTGGTTCTGTTATTATTTGTGTTTCAGAGACAAGGACACTGAAGCACAGAGATGTCACATAACTTGCATAAGAAACATGTGTAAGATGTTTTGACTCATGACAGTAGCATTTACGGTTCTCCAACGCTTGCCCCATACTGAGGGGTGTGCATACATTTTTGTGTTTATACTTTCCTTCATTCACTGAGAGCTTCGTTAATCATGACATTGTGTGCCAGACACTACATTAGGAAAGGAAGGGGCACAAGACCAGAGAGCTACATTTCAAGGAGGCAAATGTCAAGTGACCATCACTTTTATCCTTGAATTTGGAACCAGCAAAGAGAATTGGTTCAGGTCAAGAATGCTGTCATTTTCATTGGAATAGGCTACTTCTTTAAATAAAATAAATGATGTTTATGGGGCACTAAACATGTGGCCTTTGTCCTTATATGGCTCGTGCTAAGGAGTCTATGTGGTGTGCTTGCACAGAGCTTCCTGGTTCAGAAAAGAAAATGTGTGTGAGGCAAATGTTCCCATCAAAATCCAATAGGAGGCTGGGCATGGTGGCACATACCTGTAATCCTTGCCACTTGGGAGGTGAAGTTGGAGGATCACTCGAGCCTGGGAGTTTGAGGCTATGGTAAGCTATGACTGTGCTTGCCTGGGCAACAGAACAAGGCCTTATCTGTATATAAAAATAAACACATAAATAAAATCCAACTGGGTATGTGGCCATAGCTCCAGTGTGTCGCAACTTCACATGTGTATCATTAATTAAGAACAGATTCTATTAGGTGTTAGGTATTTATTTTTACGTGTACTGTAAAATATATAAATAACATTGACCCATCATTTCAAGTATACTGCTGTTTGGAATTTAAAAAAAATTTAAGTGAATTAATTTAAAGAAAAATACTAAACTAATAACGGCACAGGTGATACTTTAGATACTGAAAATTAGCAAAGTGGTACTCAGATGAAGCATACAGTAGTGCTTATTGGAGGTGTTACTGGTATTTTGAGTGGGGCAATTCTTCATTCTGTAGGATTATCCCCAGCCCATGCCCATCACATGGCAGTAATGTTACTCCTAACCCTCTGCCAGTGCGTGGTGACAGCTTCCCCCACAAACGCACACAAATTCCTCCACACATTTCAAAGGCCACATACTAGAGGCCTGGGGGGATTTGGTATCAGCTCTGACTGGGAACTATTGCTAAATCAAAGCTAAAGACTTGTTAGATGCCCCACTGGAAAAGCACACAAGCTATGTTTGAGTATTTCTGAAGTAGAATGAAGGGAAGATAAAACTCAAGTTCAGTTACCAGGTGGCTTAGTGGGGAAGGCACCACAGTAAGCAAATGAGAACCGAAACGAGAAGATAGTGAAGACATGAGAAGTCCTGGCAAGCGTGGGGACACACTGCAGAGGCCTGGGGCTATAGACAGAGCTTTCCTGGCTTGGGCCTGCTGTTATAGGGCAAGACCAGTTCCTTCCTGCTTGTCTTACAGGTGCCATCTGGCATCTGACAACGACCAGAGACAATGCCCACTGCCTGCTGAGGAACAGGCAGTACAACTACTGATTGAATATAAATGCAGTATGATACCAAGCCAGGGGATATTTTGTAAGGATACAAGCCATATGATGAAAAATGTAACCAATTTATTAATCATTAAAGAAGGAAAAGAAGGCTCCAGAAAACCATGGGTCTCTCTCCATGTGTCCCATAATATGCTGTTAACAGCGAGCATGAACTGGGGGAGGAGGGGAATAAATCAGTGATTTTTGCATACCACCCACGATACTGTTCATATCCTTTTAAAAGTCTTGGTTATTATTGACTCCTTTGATCCACTAGTTTTCCCATTACATCCGAAGGTTGACTGTTCTCTACCTCAACGTGTCTGTAGGACAAGTATTTCCAAAGATGCAAATAGGTGGTGTCAAGGAAGAGAGGTTTTCCAATGTCAAATAAGTTTGTAAAACACATGTTTCTGATGTGGAGATTCACAGTACACACAGGAACTTTAAAAGTGTTGAGATTTCTTCTGTTCCCTTGGTAGTCTAAAGGGTGAAATCCAAACTCCTGGTCTGTTTTTAAAAATTAGCTGACTTGCCCCACCTCACTTAACAGATGTAATTTTCACGGGAGGCACACTTATAACAACTGCTCCTCCTAGGCATCTTATCTTCACTTCCAGGCCCTCTCTCATCTTCCCCCACCCCCTAGCACACATTCCCCAAGCTTTCCACTGACTCCACATTCCTGGCCAGCCCCAGCTCAAGATTCATCTATAACTCCTATTCCCTACAGCAAACTTCCTCTCTACTGTGAAACTGTATCTGTACAAGATTGTGTCATGTCATTTTGATTACTTCAGTGTTGCCTTGGAATTATCCCTGGGGAGCATGATATAGGTAGTTTGTAAGCATCTTTGCCTATTTTCAACTTCTCCTGGGAGTCTATTATTGCCCCATGGGCCTTGTAAAAAAAATACTGCTGGAGACATTACGTGGTGGATGTGCTGATGGCATAGCTTTGTTCCTTTGTAAGACTACTTGGATTCTCTATGTCTCTAAGAATTAACAACCACTGGACAATGACTGAACATATGTATTCATATTTTCTGTCTTTAATTAATTTGATGTTTTTCAAATTAAATGACATACAGTTACGTGCCACATTACAATGTTTCAGTCAACAAGGGACCACTCCCTGCTCACTCAGCTCCATCTCAGACCCAGCTTCCAGGGGAACACAGCTTGTGCCTTGAGGTAGTGAGCAGTGGTCAGGTTCTAAATATAGTTTCTTTTCTTTTTTTTTTTTTGAAGACAGGGTGATATGGTTTGGCTATGTCGCCACCCAAATCTCACTTTGAACTGTAATAATCTCCATGTGTCAAGGGCAGGGCCAGGTGGAAATCCTTGAATCCTGGGGGTGGTTCCCCCATATGGTTCCTGTGGTAGTAAGTCTCTTGAGATCTGATGGGTGTACAAATGGTCATTTCCCTGCACAAGCTCGCTTGCCTGACACCATGTACAAGAGCTTTTGCTTCTCCTTTGCGTTCCACCATGACTTTTTGAGGCCTCCTCAGCCATGTGGAACTATGAGTCCATTAAACCTCTTTCCTTTATAAATTCCCAGTCTCAGGTACCACATATACAATGGTGGCCCCATCAGATTGTAATGAAGCTGAAAAATTCTTATCATAGCCATTGTGGCATCATAGTGATGTCATAGCCATTGTAACATAGTGGCACAGCACATTGCCTTTTCTAGGTTTGGATATACAAATACTTATCATTGTGTTACCATTGCCTACAGTATTCAGCACAGTAACATGCTGCCCAGGTTTATAGCCTAAAAGCCACAGGCTACACCATCTAAGTTTGTAGAAGCACACTCTGTGATGTTCGCACAACGATCACCTGATATATTTCTTGGAATGTATCTTTGGTATCCCTGCTGCTAAGTGACCCATTACTGGATCCAGTACAACAGATTGTATATTACAACTGTGTAATGTTGGAGGTGTTCAAAGTCAAAGGTAAGAATGTGCTCCTGGAAATGGAATCTGACCTTTTACCTGCATGAATGTTAAAAGTTTGCTTTTATTTTTAATATATTCTCTACCTTCTTTCTCCATTCCTATGGACTGCCCCTCCCTCCAGTAAACCCAATGCCTTTTCCATGGTCCTTTCTGTGTCTGTTAATAGTGATTCCATCCTTCAGTTGCTCAGGACAAAAGCCTTAGTGTTTCATAATCAAATTCCCTTGTAACAACATCACATCCAAATCATTTGACTCTGCCTTGAAAATATATTAGGGCCAGGCGTGGTGGCTTATGCCTATCATCTCAGCACTTTGGGAGGCCAAGGCAAGAGGACTGCTTGAGCCCAGGAACTCAAGACCAGCCTGGGCAAAAATTAGGTGGCATGCTTGTGCATGCCTATATTTCCAGCTATTTGGGCAGCTGAGGCAGGAGGATCGCTTGAGCCCAGGGGGTTGAGGAGGCAGTGGGTCATGACTGCAACACTGCACTCAGCCTGGGCAACAGAGTGAGACCCTGTCTAGTAGCCTCTGCTCATGCTGCCAATAAGAACATACCTGAGACTGGGTAATTTATAAAGGAAAGAGGTTTAATGAACTCACAGTTCCACATGGCTGTGGAGGCCTCACAAAGGCATGGTGGAAGGCACAGGAGAAACAAGGCTCTCTTACATGGTGGCAGGCAAGAGAGCTTGTGCAGGGGAACTCCCATTTATCAACCATCAGATCTCATGAGACTTACTCACTACCATGAGAACAAACAGTATGGGGAAACCACCCCCAGGATTCAAGGATTTCCACCTGGCCCTGCCCTTAACACATGGGATTATTACAGTTCAAGGTGAGATTTGGGTGATGATACAGCCAAACCATATCACCCTGTCTTCAAAAAAAGAAAGGAAAGAAACTATATTCAGAACCTGACCACTGCTCACCACCTCAGTGCACAAGCTATGTTTCCCTGGAAGCTGAGTCTGAGATGGAGCTGAGTGGGCAGAGAGTTTATTAGGGATCAATGCCTGTGGAAAGGGAGAAGTTGGGCTGTGAGGCAGTCACAAGGAAGAAGGCCTGAGTGGACTCCTTGAGGAGCTCTGAACTGGGACGGCCCTTAGGAGTTGTCCTGAGTCGAGGTACAGGGCCAAGCCTCTGTAGCCGTCACTGACAAGCCTCTAGAAAGGGGAAATGCCACTGGGCAGGACAGTTGTCTTTAGCAGAAACAATTCTGGAAGAGGTGACAGCCAAAGGCCATCAGCTGGAGCTTCCCAGCTGCTGAAGGAATAAATGTTTAATTCTCAAAGGAGACTTAAGCAGCATCTACCACACTTCACCATGGCCATCTTGATTGGAGCCCCCATCTTCTCAAGATCAGCTCCTCACTGATCTGCCTGCTTCAATCCTCTTATCACACAGCTAGGGTGACCCTTTGAAAATATGTGATGTCCCATCTCTGCTCAAAACCATCATGTCAGTACCTCCCTGCCTTAACCTGAGTAACATCCAAAGTCATCACAGTTATCTGTACAATGCTACAGCCTCTGCTCCCTCAGCTCTCAGGCCTCAGCCACTACTCTTCCCCTCTTTACAGCTGTACTCTAGACCCTCTGAGCTCCTTGCTGTTCCTTGAAAATGCATGGCAAGTTCTGTTAAAAGATAAATTTATGCATATTAAAATTTCAGGAGCTTATTTGAGCTTTGAATGATTCATGAATCGGGCAGCACCAGACCACAAGCAGTGCGGCACTCTGAGGGAAGGAGAGGAGGGGGCTTTTATAAGGTGTTCATAGAAGCCAGACAAAAAAAAAACTTTTGACTGGTTAAAGCAGAAAGTCCCTAGTGAGAGGTCAGTTGGCAGTTTCTGACTGGTAAAGCCTCTAGTTGAAGTCAGCTGGCAGTTTCTGATTGGTTACGTTTGTTTCATTTTACTGTTTACATTGAGTTGGTTTTCCATTTGCTTCGGTAGGAACCCAAGGTGCTGAAGGTGGCTCAGCTAAATGGCCTCCTGATTAATTATTTGAACAGCTCCTATATCAGGGCATTCCCATTTTACTGTTTCCTCTGCCCAAAATGCTCTTTCAGGCCTCAGCATGGCTCTTTCCCTCAGGTTGTCACTCCTGTCACCTTCTTGTGGGCATCTTCTCTGGCCGACCTTTTGGAAACGATACTGCTCCTTCCCTTGACTCTCCCTGCCCTTCACTACATTCTCTTTCTCCATAGCAAGGGGCTCAAGGGGAGAAATTACAGACTGTCACATTGACTGCTATATCACATCACATATATTCATGCCTGGAATGTGTCAGGTGCTCAAAAAATACATGTTGAATGAATTTCTGTAAGCTGCAGAAAAAGGTTCCATGATTGGTCCAAATTGAAAATTGGTCCATGGTTCTCTAGGAGAGTAAGAGGAAGGAGCTGTGTTTCCTTTCTGTTGTTTAGCTTTGGTCAGACAGGTCATTTGTTTTTCTTTCCTCAAATTAAATAAGGATTTAGCTTAAGTGTCCTTTATAGAGCAAGCAAACAGTTAAAATGTTAGAATTCTGACGATATCTCTGACTAAACCTTATGAAAACCTTTTTTTTTTTTTAATTTGTTTTGGCCTCTTAAAAGCTGAAGAATTTTGACACTGTTAAACTTTCTCTAAGGCTTTTGCTCCCTAAAAGGAGGGATGGTTAAGAAATCCCCTACTGAGCCAAATACAGTGGCTCATGTCTGTAATCCCAGTAGTATGGGAGGCCAAGGCAGGAGGATGGCTTGAGCCAAGGAGCTCAAGATCAGCCTGTGCAACACAGGGAGACCCCGTCTCTACAAAAAGAAAAAAAAAAATTAGCTGGTTGTGGTGGTGTGCACCTGTAGTTCTGTAGTCTCAGCTACTTGGGAGGCTGAGGCAGATCACTTGAGCCCAGGAGGCTGAGGTTTCAGTGAGCTGTGATTACACCACTGCACTCCAGATGAGGAGACAGAGCAAGACTCTGTCTCTTGAGAGAGAGAGAGAGAGAGAGAGAGAGAGAGAGAAATCTCCCACCCTTTTGTGTTTCAAAAGAAACAGCCATCCCCACAAAGGACAAACCAGCCCTGGAATATTCTGTGATAAGATCCACCTTCATCCTTCCCAATGGCTCCCATGAAGGACTCCTTCCTTTTCTTTGAGTTATTCTTCATTAATAAATGTTCTCCCTATTGCCACAGCAAGAATAAAATCATATCCTTAATTATGCAGTACATTTTGTCTTTCATAGTTTGACACCAAGACTTGGATATGATTAGACCTCACCTTCCAATTCCCAGTTATTCCACACAGGTAATGAGGCCTTAGGTCATCTCCAAGTTGTTCAGTGGGGTAGAGCAGAAAACGAATGATTCCTCTCCTCCCCATCATAAGGATCGTGGCTGACACCCTATAACAAAACACAGGTTAACCAGAAAAAAAATAACAAATGTATTTGATCATAGTTTTTCTTTTAGCAATTTAAAACAATTTCATTTTAAAAATGAAAGCACTTACATTCTCTGTAAAAATATAAATATAGCAAACAGGTAACTGGTGTGTAACACACTCATTTGCACACATAATCAGGCATTTATGGAAGCATATGCCCAATTGTGGATATAAAGGCAGGTTTCATTTGCACTTTATTGCTTCAAACAATGAACAGCCTATTTGGTCATACTTTTACATGACAGGGGAGCCTTCAGAATGAAGACCCAGAGATACAGGAGAAGCTATCTGATTTTACGCTCAGGTTTGATGAAGCAGAGAAATGTGACTGGACAAAAGAAGGGTATGACCTAATGGAAATGAACTGAGTGGAGAAACCTCGCAAGGCCTGGCTGTCCAGATTCTTCTTGGCCTCCCTGTGCAGCATTCCTTTCTCCCAGGCGTGGGGTAGGACCTGTCTGGGATGAAGGTCTTAGTTTCTTTATGGCCAACTGGTATACAGAAGGATGGTGGAAGGTTAGAATAATATTTTTTGGTTTTATGGCTGGCTTTGGGGAAAAGGAGTTCTAGTTTCTATGACCCATCTTGGGGAAGAGGGATTACAGTTTCTATGGCTTATCTCAGGGGAGAATGAGGGGTACGAGACAGGTGGGGGCAGAAGAAAGTCAGAGAGAGACTTCCCTTCTGCGGCTGCTTCTGAGTCCCAACAGTGGCAATGATGTTCATTTTCAACAAAAGGGAGGACTGACAATGTTGAACTTAACCTAAGTCTTAGACTCATAAAAAGTTTAGATGTTGTCAGGTGCGGTGGCTCATGCCTGTAATCCCAGCATTTTGGGAGGCCAAGTCGGGCAGATCATGAGGTCAGGAGTTTGAGATCAGCCTGGCCAATGTGGTGAAACTCCATTTCTGGTAATACAAAAATTAGCTTGGCATGATGGCACATGCCTGCAGTCCCAGCTACTCGGAGGGCTGAGGCAGAAGAACTGCTCGAACTCAGGAGACAGAGGTTGCAGTGAGCCGACATCGCGCCACTGCACTCCAGCCTGGGTGGCAGAGTGAGACTCTGTCTCACAAAAAAAAAAAAAAAAAAAGTAGCGATGTTAAGAAATCCTCTGCCCTTTTGAGTTGTAGGAACTGGCTAATTGCCAAGGACCATGCAGCCTTTGCATATTCTGAAGTAAGACCAACCTCCGTCCTTCTTCATGCTCCCATAAGACTCTTCCTCCATAAAACCCAGACTCGTTCCTTTTCTTTAAGGTATTTCTTGTTGATGAATGTCCTCCTATTGCAACAGCCTGAATAAAAATCATAACCTAATTTACTGGTGGATTTTGTCTTTCATAGTTTCATAAGGAGGGGACTTGTGTTGAGAGGGTTTATTTATAGCCTTAAAGTGTCTGTTGGAAAATCAGCAGCTGACTATAGCGAGTGACAAAAGAACTCTTGACAATAGATAACAGACAGCCAAAGGGTCTGCTCCCTCAGCAGAAAGCCAGCATGAAGCTTGGTTTCAGAGCAGGGAATAATTATTACTTCCAGAGGCTGACAGAAACTTGATTCAAGCAGATGGCTGGACAAAAATATATTGTTGGAAGTAATTTACCAGCATAAAAGGTAAATGTCACTCTACATAATTTCCCCATGAAATCAACTATCTCCAATGTGCTAGCCACAAAAGACTCAGTTCTTCCCTGTCTGGGGCTCTGGTTGTAAAGAGATGGAGTGGAGGCAGAAGTCCCTGGAAGAGGGTGACTGTCATCCATCACATGTCTACAGCCTCTTGCTTCCCCTCTTGCCACGTGATCTCTGTACAGGGCAGCTCCCCTTTGCCTTCCATTATGAGTAGAAGTAGCCCAAGGCTTTCACCAGATGCTCAATCTTTTAGGCAGCAGAATTGCGAGCCAAATAAACCCGTTGTCTTTATAAATTACCCAGCCTCAGGTATTCCTATGTAGCAACACTAAATGGACTAAGATAAACCACTACCTACTATTCATATTCAAAGAAATATTCCCTAGACAGACACCTTCACTCCTGTCCAGGGCACATACCAGGAGCACCAAATTCATCAGCAGTCTATAACTGGGCTTACTTACAGCATTTGCAGGCATTTGCTGTCCTCGGATTAGCAACGAGCTGATGAGTCATGCTGAAGACCTTGATACTGGCCAAGTCCTCACAAAATTGATTCATCTTCTAGAAGCTGACAAGTAGGAGGTTATATGTCACCAAAAGAAAGACTAGTAACTATTTGATCAAATCCAACCCATTTTATATTTCCAAATAATCTCCATTAAGAATGTAATTTGACATCAAAAACAGGCCTGCTTAGAGATAGAATATGAAAATGAAATGGAAACATATGAGCATTGCCAAGATGTTGGGTTTGTTTTTTATTTTTAAGTGCTGAAACCTGGATTTCATAGCCTGTGCTTTGAATTAAAAATAGCGATCAGAATTACTGCCATATATTTTGCATAAGTTTAATAGACAAGGCTTAATTGGCTCACTGAACTGTGTCTTTGTGAGACTTTAATTTTCCTGTAAGAACCGTAAATGCCAACAAGATAGACGTCCCTGTTCTTCTAAGCTCTGTTTATAGTTCCAAGAAGTAAACAGGCAGTTATTACATTAAAAACATTCCCTGTATGCCAGCAACATCTAATTTTAATCTGTGGGAGTTTTAGAGGAAAAGGAATAGATGTCATAGAAAAGAACCCCCAAATATGCCTAATACTTAAAACTTGAAGCCTGATCTTGATTCCACTGTGGATTAATAAACCACGTTTCTCAATGTCACTGTCATCTGGATGCATAGGATATTCGCCACTTAGTTTGTCAACAAGAGTCTCTTAGTTTCTAAATTGCTCTGAGATCGGATTTTGGAGGCATATTTATCTTGCGTACTCATGGCAAGGAGTGCTATTTGTCAAACTGGATGTAAAATAAATTAAATGGAATTCCGCTGCCCGTATACATTAATGCCTCCCAAAGAGACCAACGTGCTAACTTGGGCAGGACTTACAAAAGCTCAGTTGAAGTATTACCTCCTCTGTGGCGAACTTAATTGCTCCCTCTGTGCTGGCCATAGTTGCTGGGGGTTATAGCTGCCTCCCCCATAGGCTGAGATCCTGCAGGGCAGAGACTATGTCTTATTCATCTTTGAATCTCTGGTAACTTGCATAGTGTTTTGTAATCAGCAAGAATTTGCTCAATGACTGTAGGTATTCCTTTAATGATAGTCAACTGTTAGATCAGAATCCACCCCAACTCTGAGTATGCTCTGAAGTGTGCCACAGTTCATAGCGCCTTATCTTTAAAGTCCTTATAAAGATACTGAGGGACTATGCAGTTTCTGTTTCTACACCACAAATGTCTGCAGGACGTGATTCTACCCTCATACTCTCAGAGCTCTGGACGGGTGAAGAAGATTGGAAAAACCCTAATAGCCAAAAGAATTCAACTCAATGGTTCAACAAAACATCTCCTCTACCAGGCACTGTTCTAAGCATGTTATACCTTTCATCTCATGGAATCCTCACTGTGAGCATGGGCGGGTACTGTTACTGTCTGTATGTTACATGTGGGGAAACTGGCACTCAAAGGTGGAGTAACTTGTCCAAGTGATAGAGGCTTACTATTTCCCATACCTCTCGCTTCCTAAGAAGCCAGGCAAATGAATCATTTCTCCTCTGCATTTCCATAGACTCGATACTCAGGCACAGGCTTGATTCATCATGTTGTAATTGGAACTTTACGTCTGTCTCATTGGTTAAACAGTGAGTTCCTGGAGAAGATTATTGGTAATCTTTTCTCTTCCCTGCTTAGCAGAGTGACTGGTGTATACCAGCCTCTGCTTGAGTGTTTGCTGAATAAGTGAATGAGGGGAGGCTCTGTCAAAAGATACCACACCTGGGGAACTCCCAGAGAAAGGGATGAAGACAGACTCATCTTATTGCCTCGGGGCTGTGAGTGTGTGTGTGTGTGTGTATGTGTGTATCCAACAGCAACTTTCAACAGCAGGCCACCAAAGCCTAGTGGAACTAACTGGCGTTTAAACCACATACCTTATGTTTTGCTAGAGCAAAAGTAGTTATAAAAAGAATTTTTAAGACAGAGTTTTGTTCTGTTACCCAGACGGGAGTGCAGTTGCACGATCTCGGCTGACTGCAACCTCCGCTTCCTAGGTTCAAGCGACTCTCCAGCCTCGGACTCCTGAGTAGCTGAAATTACAGGTGCTGGCCATCCAACCTGGTTAATTTTTGTATTTTTAGTAGAGATGGGGTTTCACAATGTTTCCCAGAAAAAGCTCAAGTGATCCACCTGCCTCATCCTCCCAAAGTGCTGGGATTATAGGGGTGAGCTACCACACCTGGCCCTAAAATATTTTTTGAAGTTTTTTCCAAAGTATTAAAAAGTCCAAATAGTTTTTCAAAGTATGTCATTAATACTTAAGCCTGGCAATTCCACTTCTAGGAGATTATGCTAAGCATCATCATGCTTATATGTGTAGAGGCCACAAACACAAACATGTGTGGGGCTGAGCAGATGGAAGGAGCTGGGTAAAGAATGTGCATTCTCTGGAGTGGGGGGTGGGAAGGACAGTGGCATGCTGGAAAAAGCTTGCCTGTTACTGTGATTTGAGGACAGGGATCCAGAGTAGCCAAAGGTTGTTTTTCAATAGGGCCTAGAAATCTCAATTTAAAAATATTGGCTGTGGTGGACTGCAAAAAATGGACCAAAATTATTCCCCTCCTGTCTCCATGCCTTTTGGTAGAGCCCTCCTGCCCAGACTCTGAGCTGGCACATGACTGGCTGTGGCCAGAGATGTCAGCAAAAGGGATGCAAACAGAGGAAAGATATTTGCACATGGGGGCTTGCCTTCTTGCTGCCCGGCGAACCCCCTCCACTACTACCAAGTAAAGATGACAGGGTAACCTGACAGATCAAAGGCATGTGACCTAACCACATGTGACCCGTTGCCCCAGGAAATAGACTGTGACTTCCCAGACACATGAGTGAGGCCACCCTAGGGCGTCCTGCCTCAGCCAACCCACCAGCTGACCACAGATGCACAAGAGAGCCCCCAGCAGAGATCAGCTGAGCTGGCCCAGAGCGGAAGAGCAAGCCCAGACAGCTCACAGAATTATGGGCTCAATTTTAAGCCATACATTTGTTGTTTTAAACCATTAAATCTTGGGGGTGGTTTGCTATATAAAAAAGCTAATTGAGAACAAAACTAAAATACGTTTGGCACTAAACAAAGCAGGGATCTAGTTCACTGTAACCTCTGATGAATGTAAAGATTTGACCACAAACACTCTATTCCTTGCATCACTGTTTATAATAATGAAAAAGCAAAACCAACCTAAAGATCCATGCAGAGAAGTGGTTAAGATGTGATGGCACACCTACATACTGGAAAGGTACCTCACCACTGAAAATGAGGGCACAGAAGAGCGGCAAAGCATAGACTATCGACCCTTGCTAAGTGTGCCATCAAATTTTGATCAACGGGTAAAATTTCATTGCCCTCCTGGAACACGTACTCTTGGGGAGATGGAACACAACACTGACTGGATCATCAGGTGATGTAGAGGCCATCATGCTGTAAGGAAGACATAAAATCTCAGAGTAAAGCCCAGACTGTGTTAAACTTTGCTTTTTGAGGGTATTAGAATGCACAGAGGGGAGCTGTAAACAGCTCTATTCAAATAGTGTAATGTGATTCCAAAGAGGGACGGAGCAAAAAGTGGGACAAGGGTTTTGAGAGTGAAAGACATCGCCCTACTTAGTAGCTCAGTGTCTTTTAATCGCTTCAAACATGCCACCAAAAATTATAGGACTTGAAAGTGTGTTGTGAACACAGGGGATTTTAGAAATCATTGGCATAGAGAAATAATGACACAGAAAGACAGTTTTAAGTTATATAAAAGAGGCCAATTGTAAAGGAGCGGGTACAATATAATCCCATTGTTATAAAATTTAGAACTTAATTTTAAGCCATGAATATAAAGACCATTTGGAGTATGCCACTGAGGAATATTAAAAAGATGCATCATTTTAATTACACATTTTAGTCTCTATAGTCCTCCCATTGGCAAAAAAAAATAAGTCAACTGCATTATCAGTTGGAAAATACAACACTTTTATAATGAAATGCAGGCAAAATCCTCTTCTTTTTATAAAAAGAATATGCAGGCCTAGGAAACTAATTGGAGGACAGAGATAAAAATTGGTATGTACAGAGTAGGGATAATTTTATTTTTCTTCATCTTATTTTTTTTTCAAACTGCCATAATCATGTACTTTATGTTGAGAAAATTTAATAAAAGTTAGTTTTAAAAACATTAGGGGCCACACTCATACATGCATATGCGCGCGCGCGCACACACACACACGCACACACACACACACTCTCTCTCTCTCTAACCCAACCCAAAGTGATACAAGACTATATATTAATAAATATACTTTCTGTCAGTGCCTGCAAATGCTCATGCCACCTCTATGCACTCATTCAGAGTTTTCCTGGGGGTAAATAGTCTCTGGAATTGTAGAATCTTCCCCCATGCAAAAACACAGAAAATCCCTGCAGGCACATCACCTCCCCAGTTCTCTTAGGAGGCAGGCAGCTGCTGTGTAGCATTATTCTTCATGGCCAGAGGGAGAACCAAGATAGGGATTCAGCTGCTCTGTTCTTCTACTCAGCAAGTCTTCTGCAAGCACGTGAGCAGGCCCAGGGAGGTGCTGCTGCCATTTGGTGGTGAAGACACTCTGCTCATTAAGGGCAACAAGTCAGAGCTCTCTAAGGGCCCCCTCGGCCCTGTCTGTCTGGCCCATCATGGACTTGTTCTTCACTAATTGTCTCTCACTGCTGACAGAGCCTGCACGGTCTTTATGTGTGACAGATTCCTTGCAAATGGTGAATGGCGGAGAGATGACCCAGCTAATCATCAAACCTGCTTCTAAAATGCCATCCAGTCGGATGCAAGCAGAGCCCAGCTCTACTCACTCATCAATGAATGTGACTCTGAGCTGTGAGAACAAAAGCCAAAGGAACTCTCCATTAGGAAACTAAGGGGGAAGACAGCAATGTAACAAGTCCCAGGTTCAAAATGACAAGTGATTCACTGAAGATGCCACAGCAGTACAGCCTATCACTGGGCACAGGGATATAGCCAAAAGAATGAGAATTTTACAAGATAATGAATTATTGGCTGGGCTACAAAATGGAAAATTCAAGCTGATAAGGCCAGTGGACTATCCTTTTGAACTGAATTCAATGAAAGAATAAAGTGTGGCACAGTAGCTCTTTTTTAGTAATGGAAACATGGTTACAAGATGCCTGAGAGGACGTAATCCACACACTATTTTCATCTTTTTAAACACTCACTTCATGCTCAACTCTGCCATTCTATAAATTTATTCTTGGAATGGAGAGAAGTAAAAAGCATGATTTTTTTTCCCTCCATTTTGAAAAATCCTGAGTTATGTTAGAAGTAGGAAACACATTCTATAATTACTAAGAAGGAGAGATAACAGATTGGCCCCATTGTAAAATTTATAAAATCCAATCAATCCCATTTTAAAGCCTAGTAAGAAATGTGGCAATAGTATCTCCTCCCCATGCCCTCAGCTTTCAGCCACTATTCAGCTTTGCCTGTGGTCTAACTATACCTTCAGCCACAGCAGTGGCAAATTAACAGCTGCCATTTCCTGAAAGCTGACAATGAGCTGCATCTGGATGTGCTCCTGGCGGACATAATTGCTTTAATCATCACAAAGACCTCAGAGGTGAGTACAATCATTTTCCCATCCTACCAACGAGGAAACTGAGGCGTAGAGAGGGTAAGTAACTTGTGCGAGGCCATACAGCTAGAAGGTGGGGACCAGGATTCGAGCTTCTTCAATGAGCATGCAAGAGAGAAGGGGAGATGCCTCGTGGAGCAGTTGGAAAGGGCTCAAGAGCCGTCGCCCAAGCTCATTCACCCTGGGCCAATCGCTTAATCTCTCTACAGAAGGTGAACCACCTTGCCCACTGCCTCACAGGATTGCTGAGAAGTCCAAATGAGATCAAATACAGGAAAAACCTTGAAAATAGCAAAGCATTCTCAAAGCACCCTGTGCTATTGATAAAAGGACAGAAGACTAAATCACACTCCTTAGGAGCACAACACTTCAATCATTCTGGCTTCAATGGAAAGACCACACCCCCTCTCCTCCCTCGACTTAATGCTTTCAATAAACAGCACAGGATTTTCTTGCGCAATCTTTTAAAGATGAAGGGCTCAGGTAGGCATGCTGGTACTTGAACTGGTCTTTGCAGGGAGCTTTAGTGTCTTACAATATTTAATACAGACATCCTGCCTGAGCTACTTATCCTGACTTGGAAAAGTAACCATTTCACTGTTACTACTAATTCTGTTCCAAAAACAAAAAAAAAAGACTATTGTAATTTCATACCCTTAATCTATGCAACACAGGAATGAGAAGGAAACAAAAAAAACCAACACAGTACTTTCTCATGAACGAGACACATTATATATAGTAATTCACATTTTATTATTGTATCATTATGAACAGTGAAGTCCATAGTTCAGTCCTCAGACAACATAAAAGTAAATGTTTTACATATACTTTTGTAACACCTCCCTATAATGTGATGACATGATATCTATATTTTTTGAACCACTGTGATTTACTAGTCTATTAAAAAGCCATTACACATTTAAAAACGGAACAATTCCAACAATGCAATCTTCAAGCAATTAAAAACAAAAAGATGTTGAGCCAGTGTGGGAGATCCGCTGAGTAATCCGGCCTTTGAAGTAATGTCTAGTGGAAACCCTGTTTTCTCCTTCCATCTGAGGGTTATTAAGAATAAAAACCCCAAACCAAAAACCACCTGCTCTGAGTGAAAGTCAGGATTCAGCCCACATGACTCGGGACACACTCCCCAGTGATTGGTGGAGGCACCATCACTCCAACATGTGCAGGAGCAGTGAGGGGTCTGCCTCCACGGCCCGCAGCCCGTTGTGCAGGCTCTGGAAGGTGGCCTCCTTCCCAAAGCGCTGCCGCCAGCGGACGAAGGCCTCCACCACCTGCGACTGCACATTGTGGGGGTGGTTGGCCTTACAGCGGTAGATATCCGTCTGGGACAGCCCCAGAGACAGCACCACGGGCTCCCACTCAGGCCCCAGCCTCTGGGCCAGCCGGTTAATCTGCCGGTCTGATGGGGAGCTGTTGAGGAGGTGTGAGGGGATCACAGTCATCCGGTCACCTGAGGAAGAAAAAGACACCCAGGTGAAATGAGCAAGGCAACAAACACATCATTTGGGGGCAGAAGCAAGAAATGGGAGAAGAAAGCATGCTTCCAAATGGCAGAGTCAATTGGCTCTCGTCTTAGCTGCTCTGTACAATGCAGTGATTCAGGGCTTATTTATGAGAACGTTTATTACAGAAACTTTTTTTTTTTTTGAGACGGAGTCTCACTCTGTCACCCAGGCTGGAGAGCAATGGTACGATATTGGCTCAGTACAACCTCTGACTCCTGGGTTCAAGTGATTCTCTTGCTTTGGCCTCCCAAGTGGCTAGGATTACAGGCACCTGCCATCACACCTAGCTAATTTTTGTATTTTTAGCAGAGATGAAGTTTCATCATGTTGGCCAGGCTGGTCTCGAACTCCTGACCTCAGGTGATCCACCTGCTTCAGTGTCCCAAAGTCCTGGGATTACAGGCATGAGCCACCACACCTGTCCTATTACAGAAAATTTGAAAGCAAGAAAATAAAAATAACTAGAAATCCCACCAGAAAAACTCACTGATAATAATCGGTCTATTTCCTTTGATATATAAAACACACACCTTGTACATGCTGCTTTGTAACAGGCTTTTTTTCACTTCTCTTTTACTCAAGGCCAGGCAAGGCACTCTGGGGAATTCAAGAATGGTGCACAGACTCCAGCTCCCTCTGGCACTGTCTGTGGCCTTAGTGATGGGGCCTGTTCCAAGTGTGGGAATGCCCCTCCCTAGGAAAGGCAGGTGCTAGAGGACAAAGGCTAAATCAAACAGCTACCCTCCCCAATGAGCTTGAACTTGAAATATTACCGAGAAAAGGTGCAGCTACTAACAGAAGCAGGGACCAAGAGGCCTGCTGAGAGCAAAATAAACCTAAGAGGCCATAGGGTTACAGGAAGGGAAGAGAGGGGTGTTTGTTCGTAATAAAGGCCACAAGAGTTACCGTCCTGGCAGAGTCCAGAAAAGGAATAGGAAGTATGTGCTGAGACAAGGCAAGGAGGAAATCTGACCTTACACTTGCTGAACTAGATTCCTATTTGCCTGAGGCCAGTCTGCTAACAAGCATGATGTTGAGTGAATGTTTATAAATGTGCCCAGCAAAACCAGTGACCAGTGTCTTTGATTATACAGAAGGAGCTCCTAACCTTATCAGGGAAGGAAGGCCTTGTAGGGGAAGGAGGCTAAAGTAAGCCCTGAACACTAGAAGGAGCTGGGTGATGAAGGAGGAAGAGGATGTGGTGTATCTCTAGAAGAGAGAATTGCACGTGCAAAGGCCCAGAGGCAGGAGATTTCCAATGGAGGAAGGGAAAGGCACTTGCAGCAGCCAAGTGCAGAGATTGAGAGGGACTCCAAATATCCAAAATCATTTGCCAGTTCAGACATTTGTTTGACAGCACAGTACCCTATACTCCTGTCCATCAACATCACAGGGATTCAGGTCAGTCTACTTCATGCTCACCAGTCCACTATTCTGTTTTGATTTATGATTCAATAAGAAGGCAAAGGCACCCTATTTCAAGAGCTGATGTTTTCCACAGTCCATGCCCTTTGGCGTCTGGGTAGTGGCCAACACCTTAGAGATGAGTTGCAAAAATATTGTCAACGGCTCTTTCTGGTGTTTGTCAACACTACAATTTAAGAAACAAGGACTAAGAAGCAATTAGAAGATTGATGACACTACTGATCAATATTTAAGATTAACAGCAATGATTTTACAGCTTGTATGAAAACATGGGCTCATTAAAAAAAAATCAAGGCAACACAAAACAGCGCAAAGAAGAGAAGAAATAATCTAATATCCCGTCATTGTGTTTACAGTTGGTGACCATCATTCTGGATATTTTTTACACACATATACTGGTAGAAGGCTAGATAGAGGGCAATGGCTTCCTTTAAAATAACATATGAGCTTTTTTTCTAGTAAGAGCTATTTAATTTTGTTTGAATGTAACAGAAGAAAAAGCAAAAGAGAAACAAAATGACATTCTGACTGGCAGCTACAAATTACATACTTGAAAACACACACATACACATAATTTAATGCACAGAAAAAAGTTATAAAAATCTGAGTTAACTGCATGTTTTCATAGTAATAATCTATAATCACATTTCGTCTCCATTTCTGCACACTTGATTATTTTTTGCTCATACAATGTTTATTTTGTCAGATGCCTAACAGTTCTGTTTCTTCAACAATCATCCATGCCCCCTTGCCCCACTGTTCAGTCCTAAGGTGGCATCGTAACGGTTTGAATGCTCACCAGTGTTCTGTTGTTGCCGCTGTGACTGTTTTTCATCTGTGGCTTTTCTACTCCTGAATCTGTTCTGATTTAAGTCATTTGGGTCGATTTCATCACAGGGTGATTTTTTTTTTTTTTTTTTCAAGAAATGGTCGTGGTTGCAACAGTCCCTGACTTCTTTCAGGTCAAGGCGGCCTGCTCATTGCCTTCACTGGAATAATAATATTTCGAGAACAATTTTATATTATTTTTATCTTTTTATATTCTTTTCAATAGTATAAAATTATATTCATAATTTTAAATTATATTATTTAAATAATTTTATTTTTCTTACAAGTTTGTAGACCTTGTTCATATTTTATGGTAGGGGTTGCTGGTGTAGAGAATTCTCATACCCACTTAAGTATCCAGTATTTTGTGTGACTTGCTTTTACTGTCTAAGGTCAAAATACTGAACCTTTAGACCAGGGTATATCTTATTCATTCTACATCTGAACTTCCAGATATGTGGCATACCCTTCTAACTAAAGATTCAGTTCTCTCTTCCTTTTGGGAAAATCTTCCTGTGTCACACAGCTGTATTCTTTCCTTGCTCCATATGCTGGACAGCTGTGCTTCTCCTCCATGGCTGTCATATTCTCCTTATTGCTTTAATCCCCTCCTTGGGATTATCTCACTCTTTGATTTTCAGCTATGTCTATCCTGTGTGAGAGAGAGACAGAGAGAAAGTGAGTGCATGTTTTCTGGTTTTAATGTTGTGGTGTTTTTGTTCTCAATTTCTTTTCTTGGCTCTATCTTTTAAAAATTCCATTCTACTTCACACTCATTAGGAGAGCTACTATGAAAAAAAACAAAAACTAAAAAAAAACAGGAAGTCCGAAATGTGGGCAAGAGTGTGGAGAATATGGAACTTTTGTGCACTGGTGGGAATGTAAAATGGTGCAGGTGCTGTGGAAAACAGTATGGCACTTCCTCGAAAATTTAAAGATAGAATTAGCATATGATCCAGCGATTCCACTTCTGGATACATACTCAAAAGAACTGAATGCAGGGACTCAAAGAGAAATGTGTATACCTATGTTCATAGCAGCCTTATTCACAATAGCCAAAAGGTGGAAGCAAACTAAGTATCCATCACTGGATGAATGGATACGCAAAATGCGGTACAAACATACAGTGTTATATTATTCAGCCTTAAAAAGGATGGAACTTCCGACACATGCTCCAACATGGATGAATCTTGAAGACATTATGCTAAGTAAAATAAGCCAGTCACAAAAGGACAAATACTTTCTGATTCTATTCCTATGAGGTACCTGGAGTCGTCAATTCAGATCCAGAAAATAGAACGCTGGTTGCCAGGGGGTGGGGGAGGGAGAAATAGGGAATGATTGTTTAATGGGTGCAGAGTTTCAGTTTTGCAAGATAAAGACTTTTAAAGATTGGTTATAAAACAATGTGAAGGTACTTAGTACTACTGAACTATACATTTAAAAAATGGTTACAATGGCAAATTTTGTTATGTACATTTTACAATTAAAACTAAAATTTAAAAGTAATCCCATTGTTGTTTGATCATTAACTACATCTTGAGTTTTTGTTTCTACTGAATTGATGCTGTGCCTTTCTATAGCATAAAATACTTGTGAGGTCAAGTTTTCTAGGACTGGGTCTTCTTATAGACCAGACTGGTTGTATGTTTATTTTTGCAAGCTGTGTTCCTTTCTTTCCTTTTCTTTATTTAAAATATATATCTATATTATATATATTATATATATATATATACTTAATAGAGACAGGGTCTCACTATGTTGTCTAGGCTGGTCTCAAACTCCTGGCCTCAAGTGATCCTCATGCCCCAGCCTCCCAAAGTTTTGGGATTACAGGTATGGAACCGCTGTGCCCGGCCAACAAGCTGTGTTCCTCCCTTGCATTCCTCTGCTGCAGCATTTCACAGAACAGTCATGACCCTCATTGCCATCTTGTTCATACTTATGAGCATCTG